ATTGCTTACACTTATATAGCACTTTTCTGGACACTCCACTCAAAGCGCTTTACAGGTAATGGGGACTCCCCTCCACCACCACCAATGTGCAGCCCCACCTGGATGATGCGACGGCAGCCATAGTGCGCCAGAACGCTCACCACACACCAGCTATCAGTGAGGAACTTCTTATATCTCTTCCCTTGTCTATAAAGCAGGCTTCTCTCCCTTTAGTAGTTCAGGTGGGTAGCTGCGTCAGCATGCGTAGGCTGCAAAGGAACAAGCAATAGGTTTATTCCATGGTGAAAAGAGAAGAAAGAAAACGCAACGTTTTGGCCGTGGAGCCTTCTTCATGTGTCAAGCCTCCATGGCTGAAATGTTGTGTTCTCTTTCTTCTCTTTTCAGCATGGAATAAACCTATTACTTGTTCCTTCTCTCCCTTTATCTGTCCAAAACCTTCTGATTTATTATTTCATTAGGCTACCCTGAAGGGTAATGCAGATCTCTATGGATTGTTTTCTGTATCCGGTATTCTATCTCTATCTTTTCATACATGTGTTATCTCACAGCTGTTATGCATCAGGGTTGAATGTTCCAGCTGCACTGTGGATTCTGACATTATTTTACAATTAATTTCTTTAGTTGCAAAAAAGTTGCCCTTACTAAGCAGATCATGCCTTCAGGAAGAACTTATGAATCAGATGTCTTTTTTTTTCTTTTGGCATTATAATAATAGAACTAGTGAGGTATTTAACATAATACAATTTAGTAGACAACATGCAGGTTTAAAAACACAGAAAAAACAAATAATATATTTTAGGAGTACCTTCCGCATTAACCACTGCTAAAATAAGTTCTTCTGCACAAAGGTCGGGGGAAGACTACATTACCCAACGGCCACTGGGGGCAAAGGGGCGTTATCGTTTTGCGGGGGTGAATTTGACCTCCAGCAGGTTATTCTGTTTTACCTTGCGAGTCGAACCCGGTTGCGGAAGGCAATTGATCGGACGAAGTATTGTTTTTTTTCTTAAAAGGGCAATCAAAATGTCTTGTCCCTTTCACCATGCAGGTATTATACCAGTATAAATTCAGAAACGGAATAAAAATGTTTATCCGGGGTTGTTTACCTTCTAGCGCAAAGTAGCAACTTTCTTTGTTCGATTTCTTACAATATCGATTTAAGATCACTTAAATTTATGTACATGTGATTCAGAAACATTTTCGCACTTCAGCGATTGCAAATCTGCCGATTTAAGGTTGGCGAGTGAGTAAGACTCGTGTAGTCGCCTCGGTTGCTTTCCTTTTATGTATACGTAACGCATCAGCACGTATCTTCTGTGAGAGGTAGTTTTTGGAAAGTACGGCCATGCACTCTCTCCTAGTCCTGAAGCGGCGGTGTCTTTGCAGAAGCTCCCCTGAACCCTGCCGTCCAGCCGCTGGCGTGGCTGCTGGGGACCTGGCAGTCTGACGAGCCGGGGGAGGGCTCGTACCCCTCCATCCAGCCCTTCCGCTACACGGAGACGCTGCACATCTCTCACGTGGGGCAGCCCGTGCTGAATTTCATGTGAGTACACGGCAGCCACGGCAGCACTCGGCGCAGGCACAAACACACGCCGAGGGCGTCTCTAGAGCACTCCCCTGCCATTTTATTTCAGCTGCTTATTTTTACAAACCCATCATTTTGTCAGCCATCTATTCCCAGTGAAGGTCATGGCAACCTGCAGCCTGTTCCAGAAGTACAGGGGGCAAGACAGAACTGAATACTGGACAGTATGCCCAGTTCATCTCGGGGCGCACAAATGAATGGCTAATTTAGCATGCAGGCGAAAGGCAGCCGGAATAACTAGAGAAAGTATCCATAGGTCCCGGGAGAACGCAAACCCCCCCAGTCCCTGGAACTAAATTTACAACCAAAGAGCTGTAAGGCAGCCATGCTATGTGCTACGTTATTTTAACATGCCTTTAGCAAATTAACCTTTTGAAAAGGAGATGCTTCCCTAACCCTGCATGCGAAGCTCTGCGATTTCCCCTTCAGGGTGACAGTGACATTTATCCTCCTGCAGGTTCAGTGCCTTTCACGCCGAGACCAAAAGGCCACTGCACAGAGAGTGCGGGTTCATCAGGCTGCAGGCCGGCACCCAGAGGGTGGCGCTGATCGTGGCCCAGAACTCAGGTACTGTCCACCTCGAAGCGCCTGCTGCCTGGATTGACGTTCGGTACGTTTCAGTATTCGCGGTTATTGTGGAGGAGTTTTGAGTTCCGGTTAATTGTTATACGAGAATGCCACGGTTTTAAGCGGCTCGTTCATAATGGCTTCCTTTTGAAAAAGACACCTTCTGCTCTGAATTTGACAGTACAGGCTCTGCGTCGACGTTAGGCTGGAATACGACTATTAAAAGTGGCTCGGTGTTTGTTCTGATGGGTAAAAAGTTAAAAGGGGAAAATGAACTGTTCATGAGTGACTTCGGGCTGTGTTTCCAGTGAAGTTCTGCTGTGGGCTCTGAGCTCTCTGTACCGGGTGTGTGTGTCCAGGTCTGGTGGAGATTGAGGAAGGGGAGCTGACTGGCCAGCAGCTGACTCTGCAGTCCAAGGATTTGGCTAGAATATCCTTTGCCAAGGAGCCTTACGTCCAGCAGGTCAGTAATAGCATCTTGACGACAGCATAGATGTCACTTTTCCCATCAAAGTCTGTTGTTTAAAAGGGGAGTGTAAAATCGGATTAACCCCCAAAAACTGCCCGCCCTTGCTGAAATGAATTGGCCAGACATTTACATATTGTAGTCAGGAGCCCCTAAAGGCAGGATTGAACACTGCTGTGTAGTGGTTTGGTAAAGACAGAGAGACGCAAGCAGCTGGTTCAGTTCCTTCAGGACCAGATTATAGAGGTGCCAGCCATGCTCTTTCTCCAATTAGCCACCTTGTCGACAACTTTTACGAGCTCGTTCCTGGCCGCAGTTCTGAATTTGTGTGCCTATCCTGATCTGTGTGCAGTGTTAATACTGATTTATAATACTGATAGTAATTGTGTGCAGTATTAAACAGTCTCTAGTAGAAACTGAGGTTTTCAAATACATTTTTCTTAAAACTTAAGTGTGCACTGTGATGGTGATGGGGTGCCATCTTCAAATGTTGTTAAATGTACTTCTGCAATACGGTAACTGCTATTTAACTTGAAAGCACACCTCAGGGCCCAGTCTGGGACCATATGCAAACTTTCACACTAGATTTGTTTTGTCCATTTTATCATTTTATAAATGTGGTAGAATATGTATGTATGTATATATATATATTTTGGTGTGTGTAATTCAAGAGCACTGGTATTTCTTTGCAGATTTCCAGGGTGTTTCAGCTGAAGGAGGATGGCAGGTTAGAGCAAACTGTATCCATGGCGACTGGGAGCCAGCCCCTCTCTCAGCACCTGCACATCACCTACCGCAGAGTGTCCCCTTGAAGGGATAGACTGGAGCCACGTAGGAAGAACAGCACTACCACAGAGCTCTCTGCAGCTCACATAATTAACACGTCATCCACTGTTAACTGTATGCAAAACTGAGAAGACACCAGTGTGGTGATAGGTTTTTTCTCTCTGCTTTTTCAGCTCTTACCTCACCTGCTGGGGACACTGAGAGAACGTCTTGTAGTCAGTTAGTCTGAATTAATTTGTGAAATTGTCTGCCTTTTGTGGGTCTTTGTTTTGGGATAAGATATCTTAGTTTATTTTTCAGTGTGCTTTCTTTTACTTTCTTAATATATTTTTATACCAATGGGAAGCAAAGTTAACCACTCAACAGCAACTGAGCTGTAATCGTCCACATGTTTAGATACTCAGGACAGAATGTGCACTAATCAGAAACTAAGTGAACATGAAATATATTACTTATTCAAAGTGTACATAATACTCTATGGGGCAATAAAATATAATTACTATGCAAACAGTACAATACATATGATCAAGAGTGCCAGCAATGTTTTGTATCTAATAGGCAACTAAATTCCAGATTTATAACTTTAGATCTATCGGGTATCTATAGAGGGGAATGTAATAGTTTTGTGCTAATGGAAGTGTATTATTGTATAAAATGAACTGAAGTCAGGTTTGTGGTTTTGTGGTAAACTGGAGGAAAGAATTTGCCTTCAGTGATGAGTGACTCTGATTCCAATTAGTTTATTACTTTTGCCTTAAAGAAACTGACAATTCCAGAATAGGTAACAGCGGGAGTATTTCTGTAATGTAATGTCTTAACACCTGTTAACGAACTGTGTTCTGTAATCATGAATAAGAAAGCTCCTTTCTAAATTTCTCAAGATCTTCTGCAGCATCAAAATCTCTTTGAAGGAGTCATAGGTCAACTGTTTGCACTTTGTGAATAGTTACATGTTTGTAAAATATGCTACGTAATGAAGTGTTTCCACATTTATATCAATTGCTATGATTGATGCTGTCAGAATAACCGAGTTTCAGAAGGCTGCTTCTGATGCAGTGGCACTTAAGTTCAAGCAAGATGGCAGTGAAAATTGTTTAATCACCCCATGACTGAGTAATATCAATTACCACAGCTGTGTAAAACTCTGTCATTAATAAAACTGTTAGAAGACACCAGTGTTTTGTAATGTTTTTATTTCATGCAGATAAAAGAATCTCCCAAACTTGGCTGTGCTTCAGCTCTACTGTTCTATGTCTCCTTTTAAGAGCACCTGAGGAGGAAATATTTTTAAAAGGGATTACAATATTAATATATATTCTGGATAGTGTTTGATGTTTTTTTTTTACAAGTGTTATTTGCTGCCTTCACCACTATGTGGCATAAAAGCCCCATCACCCCAAGCAAGTTTAACAAGTTTCTCTAATAAATTTCTAACATATCTTTTACGGGCGGTACAGAGATCAGCATTATTGCCTCCCAGCACTGGGCTCAGCCCTGGGTGCTATCTGTGTGAAGTCTGTATATTCTCCCTGTGTTTGTGGTTTTTCCAGATGCTCCAGTTTACTCCCACAGTCTTAAGACCTACTGGTAGGTCAATCGGTTTCTGGGATAGGCTCTGGGTGGTCAGTAATAAAATAACTTATGATTCAATTTCAGGCTGTTTGTGTGGAGGCAATGTGAAGGTTGCCACAAATCATTCAACACCACAAGGCCAACACCATCCAAGCAATGAATATGTTTTATTGAATGCTTCTGCAAAGACCAAGTACAACAGTAGATATTTAGGTGTCACATAATACATAAATTACAAATCACAAAATAGTCAAAATTACACATTAAAAAAATAACTTAACGTTTGTCTGCCATTGCAATGGTCTGCATACAGTAGGTCTGAAGTTCAGGTCTCTGATGTCCAGGCTGAAGGAAGAGCCTTGATACCGAGTAGCTTTGTCAGGTGCTGGTGAGATGTATCGTTCATGCTCTTTAAGACCTCTTCAGTCCGTTTTGCATCAAAAGTATTGTATCTATTCAGAGCCACATAAAGGAGTCCATTCCAATCTGACTCCTGATTAGTCTTAGCAACTGTTCAATGAAAGTTGCAATAGAAGTTTGATCATTTTATCCTTAAAATCCAGGCTGCACATACTGTACATGCTCTCAAACTGTCTAAAACACATTTTCCAACTGGGATCTGCTCTGAGACAGGTGTTGGGATGTTTTTACATATGGAACTTCTTTTCTTCTCATTCATTATGAGAAGAAAAGAATGAATTCAAAATGCTCCACTGGGAAAAGAAAGGTCTACCCCATAAATCTGGGATGCCTCAAGCTATAACTATCACAAATAAACTAAATTGTTAATTGTACAGTAGCTGTCCATAGAAATGAAATGTTTGCTGAATGAAATTCTGAAGAAAACATGGCAATTAAATAATCACAGTATCAATTTTTATGGTGGAGTGAATTCATGTAAAAATATTAAATCTAAACAGAATTAACATCCAGAGCTGAGGAAATGGCTCGTCTTAATTTCCCTTAAGAAAAAACTGAGGGAGGCTTCAGCTCTGAAGACCTTAATGCATTTCATTTATTCAGTTTTGTGTAGCTCAGGTCAGAAAAATATATGATCTGTACCAATGCATTTACTCCAGGGTTTATGAAATAAAAAGTTACTGAATGTTACAAATTGAGGTATCTTTTTAAAGTTTTGTTTTCTGCACTGAGCAGTCATGATAAAGTCAAAGCTCTAAGTTAGAAAAATATGCTCAGAGGAGCTCCAGGACAAAGGGATCTAAAATTATTTAAATTTAGGGTTTAAAAAAAAGTCTTTGCTACTCAATATTTGTTACTAGTTTATGAAATAAATAAATTAAAGGCTACATTTAGATGACCATAACTTTAAAGATACCAGGTCACTTCTTACTGTCAAGACTAAAATCTTTACAGTCAATCCCCTCAAACCGTAACTGTAACCAGAACTAACATGTTTCCAACCCAACTTTACACCCAGGCACCTTCTTGAGAGGCATCCTCCTGTGGTCTGGCTGTTGTGCACACTAACGAGACAATTGTTAGTTCCTCTGAAGCATTCTTGCGATGGCAACTTGAGATCCTGTTTTGAGGCAGAGTACGGTGTAATGATGCAAGTTGCTTCTGTTTGAACTCATCCCAAAGGATGTTTTTTTTTCCCACAGTTTGGGTGCGGAGGGCTGAGTGGTTTCTCTCCACGGAGGCTTCAGCGCTCTCGCAGAAGGTAGAAGACCACGGTTTTGACGAAGTGACCACAGGTACAGGCAGCAGAGATTAGCCAGTGAGACCGGAGACGGGGGTCAGTGTTCACTACACACTTTGTGACGTCAGCCTAGGAAAGGAGAGAGGAGGTCATTCATAACGGCAGACACATCTCGCTATTAAATCTACAGACTGCAACAAGGAGGAAGAAGAGAAGATGACGGGTGAATATATACATTAAAAAATGCTGATGTAAAGGCTCATTAGTATTTGAAGACTGAGGATACCCAGAATACAGCATGACTGAACACGCAAGCATGGCAGGCTAGCTGTTGCTGCAAGTGGAAATCCCACTGCTTCCAGTAGTGATTATTTGCCAACTGTGCGCCACCAGTCTTTACCCCATAAATGAATGACACTACAGTGTCTTTACACATATTTCAACACATACCATGCTGTAAAAAGTTACTGAGCGAATGTCAGGGAAGAAGTTATACCATGTATTTTCACTGTGTATTCAACCTTGCCTACAAAGCATTTCTTCATCCCTGAAAAATGAATCTGACTAACAATAATCTCAATCAGGATCTCTGTATATTCTGATCCATTTTACTTATGGCACCTGCGAATCAAATATTAATGTCTATAAACAGAAAATATGAGCTCTTTGAAATATTAAAGCAGTTATACAATCATGATTACAGTGCAAAATTTTTTTCAAATTTAATTCTCTGGTAGAACTACTTTAGACATTTCATTATGTTCTTGTCAGCTTTGTAAGTAATTGCTAAGTGTCTTGTTCATTTACAGCAGAACAGCTTCATTAGATGAGTAAATAGCATCCTTCAATCTGTGCAAATACTGTCATTGACAAAACTTTGCAGAAAAAAGGGATGTGGGTACTTTTAAACCTTGATGTAATGTCATTTTTTATTTAAGGATACTGTTATAGTGTACATGAATTAGGAATGCAACCATTGTGAAATTCTGAAAAAAACTGTTAAGACCATTAAATCTTTAATCTAATTTTATTATACATTTCTAGGAGCAAGTGAACCAATTCTCCCCCGCTGTTCCGAGTTCTTTGTTAATGTCTCTTCAAAGTTAAGGACTTTCAGAAAAGCTCTGAGCTGAGCCTGGAGAGCATCCAGCTAACCACAGTTTATTATCACCACTCACTGGCTTTCTTAAAAGCCTTCCACTGATTTGATGAATATCATGTTTTCTTGAGTTTCTTTGGACTTTATTTTTTTTCCCCCAATTCATTTGTTGTTTTTAAAGTACTGCACAGAAATGTTAGTCTATTTTAAAAAAAGGAGGCAGTATCATCTGAAAACAGAGTGAAGGGTTTCAGGTGCTCTGCAGATATACTGGCTTTTATGCTTCAGGATGTCAGAGTAGGTAAAATCACCAAGGGTTACTGTATAGCCACATAACACTGTGCAGTACCAATCCAGCACCCTCTAGTTTGACGGATGAGCTGATGTCCATTCTGCATGGAAAGATGAGCACTTGCCTTGCATTGCTTGATGTAAGTGCTTTGAAAGACCTGCTGCTGTGATGATAATATGATTTGTGACAAAACCAGAAATGGGGTGGAGATAATTTGCAATAAATTGTATACAAATCTAGACATGCAATAATTCACAAGAATAATTTAGTTTAAGGAACAGGCACTCGTTCAATCCCCTGACTATACAATGTGATTGTATTTGGGTACAGTGATTTATTTACATCAGGGAAAAAGCCAGTTAAGCAATATGGAATATCAATCAACTGCATCAAACGTACAGGTTAACTGAGGATCAGGTTTCTACTTAAAACTGAGCCAATTTAAGACAGACACTGACAGCCAACTAAAACATTTCTGAGCTTTCTGATGAGGACATTCCAAACCATACAGCTGTATTGTATCTTGTTTGGACAAGACATACCATCTCCTTATTTAAAACATACTGTACAACTAAAATATTAAATAGTGAATTAGCATTCTCATTTGGCTTTAATCAATATAAATGTCTTTTTATATAATTATAAAAAGTGATCATCCTATTGCGACTGGCACCACAAATGCAAAAATGTGTTCTCGGAAAATAACTTTCATTCTTAAATGAAAAGAGCTTGAGATAAAGTGAAGCCCAGCCTTTAATTCTGGCTCAGTTTGGAGTGCAAACCTACGGGGTACATTATGAAATAAAATAGAGGCTATTAATGAAGGATCACTGATGATGATAAGACTGCAATTCAAAAAGGGGAAGATACTTTAATAGTATGAAACCAATGACTATCTATACAGTCTAAATCTTTCAAAAAACAGTTCCATCTGCATCTGACCTGAATAAGATACTTGACCAAATGTACACCTTGCACAAAAAATGTTATTTTCTGACCCTTGTTATTGTCTAAACCACTGCAACCATGCAGGGCTCAAACTGCAATAACAAAAGGTCCCTTCACAATTCACTGAATCTATGTGAAAAAAACGCTCTGTAGATCTAGATAATAAAAGTGGGGCTGTTTAGTTACTGTTTTTAACATTAGTGAATGGGGACTTCAAACAAGGAAATCTTACTAAAAATCACTGACGTTTCTGGAGAAGCACTGGCATTTTGAATCATATACGCAGGACTGCTTTTGACACATTCATTGCTATGCTCGTTATACTAAAAAAAATCAAAGCTTTACTACTAAATTTTAGTTTCTTAGTCTGGTTATTATTAAAATCCTGCTTTGATTAACTAGGTTCCCAAGCTCCTGCGATCCAGTACGTAGAAATACAGGAAAATGGAATTCTTACCCATCCACCCCTTCTCCTCAGCCATTCGACCAGGCTCTTGCGCACAAACTCGCCCAGGCAGTCCACAATGGTATCGACCATGGCTGGGTGTCCATGACGCACGCAGTCCACCGCCAGACCTCCAGCCACTGCGTACAGAGATACCACCTTCCCCCACGTTATACCTGCAGTAAAAGGGGACACACAGACACCTCTTTTTACCATTTCACTAGGCCAAGGGAAGTCTGGTTTCCCTGTAAAGGTTCAGCCAAAATAAAACAGAAAAAACATCTAACGGCATCACACAACACCATGCTCAAGAACTGACTTGAACATGAACAGTGGGCAGAAAAAACAACTGTACTATGGGTAAGAAAGAAGGCACAACTACAGGATATGGACATACAATTTTATAAGCAGCACAGCAAAATGCTTCTTGAGCCCCAGGGCTGTATTGTAAATCACCTTTTTAGCTGTTGCACTTGGGAAAAGCGAGCCAGGTGTTACAATGGCAGGGCGGTAGTGGGGTTACACAGGGCTACATCGATTGCTGCTGGTGGTGCAATCCCAGGAGGCTAAGGTAAGACTGCTTCAGCAAACCAAATCCACTGGGAGGGCTTAAAGGGGAACTGCAGCACTATTTTTATATATTTCGAGTGTTAGAACGAATCGGCATCGATAAAGGAAAGCGCACACAGTAACATGTAAAACCTCCAAATTACATCACAAAATAGATCATTTCCAGGAATGCGCAGCATCATATTCTGCTACTCAAAATGAGGCAACAAAACATCCGGTGATGTGAAGCAGCTTTATTAAACAGTAAACAAACAGTGCTGTAAATACATCCCTTTTAATCCAATAGAAATATTGTTCTTGTTTTCAAGATGTTTTTGCCAACAAATTACACTTACTTGTTAACTCGGCATTGAAGATCACATTAGAACATTTCAGCGGTGAAATGTCTGCTGCACAACCTTTACTCATTTGCTTACACATTATATTAGTCATTACAGTGACTAGTGAGCAGGAAGAGCCACTTCATGTCACAATTGGTGTGAACTCTCGCTCTCACCTGTGGCGAGAGCAGGGGTTTTCGAGAGCATGGTGACTATCCAGTACTTTCACATAGTTCACAAATTTGTGCTTAATTAGGAATTTGTAACGTTTTGCAATATTGTCAATTAATTTATTTGGTTATCTAGACTTAATAACTGGTCTGAGAAATCGGGACTGCACTTCCCCTTTACTAGCGGCGACAATCCCAATATGCAACAGAGCAAGTTGAAGTCTTTACATTTACAGCACAATGCATCGTGGGTAACAGAACAGCAATGTCATAGTGAAACCACAACTGAAATAATCTAAGACCCCAACATTCAAGGCAAAAGAACTTGAATTTCACAAAGAATAAGCCATTAAGGTCACAAAGACCTCAATGGGGACACTGTGACAAAGACCAACGTCATAAATATAGTGGGTTTAAAGATACCTTTACTGAATCTGTCACCATGAACGGACAGAGATTTGTATAATATGTTAACGTTCAATATCAGGTACATCTTCAAGTATATCTTAAAAAGTACCATGTGAAAAATACATTAATATAGTTTTTTTATTATGGTTATTCATTATACCCATTAATTGGACTGTTTGACTTTGGTTTATACTCCTTTTATGTCCAAGTCATATTTCAACTGATAACAGCAGGCATCTATTAGGTTTTACCACTAGATAAAACAGAAAGCAAACAGAGCAGTCCCAAGAAAAAACAGCATAAAAGGGAGCTATCTTGTGTAAACAGCTCATGAAAGGAGCCAAGTCAGTTGCAGGCTTGGCTGGGGAAATTCAGGCCTCCGGTTTTAAATGAATGCCTAGGCCTCTTCTTAAACCTTACCACAGTGTGTTCAAACTAGGTCAACAGAGAGTCCCTTTGGAACAGTTTGTCTCTTTACATCTGTAAAGTGGAGACAACTCGGTTGAGTAACCAGCTTTCTAAAATGTCATGCAGCCCAATAAAACAATTGAGAAGCAGTATGATAAACTCTTGAAGCAATTGCATGAGGTCATTGGATAACATTCCATCTGTTAGAACTTTGCTGCTGCTTTCTTGGCAATTTCTAAAAAGTATTCAGAGAATTTTTTGAGAGCCTAATAGTATTTTAATACTCTTAAAGAAGGCACTCAAGGCAAAGGAGGTATTTAGTTCTTTTAAGTTGCGGCGCAGTAAGGCACTCTACAGACATCCCCATTTCACTCAACTGCAGGTCAACTGCTGTTCCCTGGAGGAATGTGATAACAGTAATTCTGGAAAAAAAAACCGGCAGGCTCCCAAAATAAAACACAGTCCAGTTACCATAGACACAGCCTCTGAAGGCATTTCCTAACCCTAACACTGGATTAGTACTCCATATTTGGAGAATAAAATAGATCTATCTTTGGCAAACCCATAACAGCTTTGCATCCTGGTTTAAAATATCCCACTTTGATTCCTTAATTAGATTCTCAAATACTCTGGATCCTCCAAACACAGAAGGCAATGGATTCTGAAGTTCTTTTTACGTATTGTGAAATAAACTGGATATTGTTTAGTCACACAATCCCTATTCCATTCTGAGAAAACTTCATCCTTTGAACTTCATGAGTAATAGACGTAAACAACATCTTCAGACGACCGTGATCTGAGATCTCTAATGTTCAACTTCTGCACAGAGTATAATGCAAATCCTGTAATCTAGAGACTCCAGGTTTAGATCTATGTCACACTCTGTAACTAAGAGCACACTGTGATGGTGTAAAACTGAGAGAGAGAGAGCACCCCTAAGTTTTGTATAGGAGGTTACTGAAGGAGATACTCTGTATGCCAGACAGCACCTAGCAGTATCTGTCTTGCAATTAATGAGATACAACAAAAGGCAGTGGCACAGAGCTACTTTTATACAGTTCAGTGAGTCTAAAGAACAACCCACATTTGCAACTGAGCAACCCCTAGTCATTTCCTCACTGACTTCCTCCAGGGCAATACCCTCCAAACATAGAATGAGTTTCACAATCTTGACCTCCCAAAGAGACCGCATGATCTAACCTCAGAGGAGCACTGGGACTAGATCCCAGAGATGGAGTAGGCAAAAGAAAGAGAGGAAGAGTGAGATGCAGAGCAGAGGACATGCAGCTGAAAGCTCCCAGTATAGGACTGGCAGGAAGCCCAGAAGTAAACACTGCTAGACAAGAAACCCCTGGCCTCCCACGGCTTCCTTTCCTGCACAGAGCAAGGGGTTCTGCAGGGGCCCGAGTCACACAGCAGGTTAGCTTCTCCAGACCGTCAGGCCCTCTGCTTGTGAAGGTCAGCGCGTGCTTGCTTGAGGAACAGGCCTGCCTGACACAGTGTAGGCCCCAGTGGATGTTTCACACCGTGGTGCAAGTTTCTCAACAGATTTTGAAGATTAGCAGATGGTTAACCCAATGTGTGTGGTAGAGTTTTCTTGCAGCTCTTAAAAAGTTATAAAGAGTGCAAGAAAGATAATGCTCTCTCTCTCTGGTACTTTTTTATACCTCTTCAGCCACATCCCTAGCAAACTGACTCAGGACTAATGATCTGATCTCATGACACAGCAGGGCCGCGCCAACTTTACTCCAGACACCCGCTTCTACCATCCACATAATAATCCGGCCCGTAGGGCAGGACTGACTGCGTTTCATAACTTGTCCTTTATCTGCTTCCAAAGGAAGAACTGGAATGCTTTATGTTCAAACCACATCCCCATATCATCCGAGGCATGGTCTGGTTTCTGAAGGGAAGCGCAGATCATGTAGTTCGGGAAGCGTTACTGGCCTGCAAACAACCGCCCAAACATGGTGATAAAAGGGACATCTCTTCAAACCAGTCTTACAGATGAGTTCCTGTATAATCTAGACGGGTAAGCAATCCCATGGAACAAACAGAATGTTGCTTTTCAACAATGCTACCACAGTTCAGTTCATCTGCCAAAACAGAGCTGTTTCTTACTTCTTTTCCCTTCTGGCCTATTCACACTGCGATGTAGGAAATCTGGGCACTGTTTCCGATTTAGTTCAGAGAAGAAAAGAAAACAAGTATTTTATAATTATTAATTAATTAATTGCTTACACTTATATAGCGCTTTTCTGGACACTCCACTCAAAGCGCTTTACAGGTAATGGGAACTCCCCTCCACCACCACCAATGTGCAGCATCCACCTTTTATCCACGTTTTATTTTAGTTTGCCTAAACCAAGATTAAATATTTGTCGCATTTTACCTATCCTTGTCTCCCAATACCCTTTTTTTTTTAATCACAGAATATTGTTCACTTGCATACACTTTTTATCAGCTTACATTCAAGTGCTCGGTTTCAGTAAAGGAGAAATTTGTCATAACTGCAATGCAAATTCTCCTAAACCAGCAGGGGATGTGGAGTGACCTGCCCACAGCTAGATGGTGCAACTAAGCCACGGTCTGACTACCAGTTCTCACTGCAGTTACACAATAAGCAATGACATGCATGACTTAAAGAGAGTGTCATGAGCGCCAGATTCAGCTTACAAATTCAAACCAACCACCAACTCTATGCTGCTCCAAACTCTCAGCTACCTGCTGCTGTCTCTTACCAGTGCTGAAGATCTCTGCAGCTACGGCCAGGAAGGCATCTGACACAATGTTCTCCGAGGCCACAGTGATGCTGAGTTGTCTCGCCACATTCCGGTAAATGTTGGGTCGCAGGTATTCCAGCTCATCGCCTGTTATGGACCAGAAGAGAGGTAATTAGATGAATGAAACAATGCACATCCTGCAGTGCTTGTGTATTTAAAAGCCCAGTCAGACCCTATCACTGTCCACCAGCAAAAAACATGTTACAGCAAAGCAATTTGCTGGTAGTTCTGGTATTTAAAAAAAAAGCAAGAAAAAGCATATTTACAGCTGGTGAATCCCACAGAAAAGGCGATACAGGCACGGATGGTAAAGTTAAGCACATTTTTAGAAGACAGGCACACAGTGCTATGAAATTCAAACAACAGACAAGTGAGGTGAAGCACAGGTTTTAGTTCGTTTTGAGATAGCACATAGAACAAGATGCTGCTGTGAAGATCTAGCATAGTTAGAGTTATAATAAATGACCACTTATGATGCGCGATAAAGATTGATTTCACATTGCATAAACATCTTTGATGTCAGAGATGCCCATCTTGTCCACTTTTGTAGAGCATACTCTCGAACGCAGCTAAGATATGCTGTACTTTACCAAATTTAAAGACATCTTGAGACCATAAATCTAAGATTTAAAGACCTGAAATCTACCTGAAGTTTTAAAACTGTTTGACATTTTTCTGACAATCCAAAAACATAAGGGCTATGCTGTTAAAATCTTTTCCATTCCTTTTTATGGGACAACCCTCTCTGTGCTGATAAAGCTTGTCAAATGTACACATTTCATTTTGTATTTTGTCTCTTTTATTATCCTTCCCTGGTTATCAGTTAATTTGATTTTTTTAAGATTTCTCCTTTGGATCTGGATCTTGAACTCTGAACGGTAATTTCCATACGTGCATCCACTGTGACATCTGCTGCTAAGTCACGACGAACCGGAGGTTGCATCTCTTTGCAATTGCTTAGATGTTCATCATCTGTACCTCAATTTTAAACTGTCCAACCACCTCATTGGCTACTGAACTTCATCCAGTTACTCTGAGGATTTGAAACCAATCCTTCCATATTGCAATTAAATCATTTCAGATCAAAAGACTCTTGAGTTTGAAAGAAAATGATGAGTTAATTCAACGAAACAAATAATCTAATGGAGTCTTACTGGGGAAATTTGAAAGAAAGACAATACCCCTACTCCTGCCAATAACGAGGGCCTACAGATGGCATAACAGGCTTTCCATCCCATCATTCTTTGCTCAAGCATTCTTCCATGAACTCCACTCCCACTTCCAATGGAGTCACTCTTAGGCTTGTTTCATAGTGGGAATCCACTTAGCTTGTCCACACAGCCAGGCTGTCATCCCTCAAAGCAGGAGGCTTAAAGTCAAATTCTGTCCATAAAAGGCGCATTTCATTTCACCTTGCTGGGGTGCTGTTTCCTGAAATCACTAACGCTGCAGTCACTAGCAAGCTGCTGCACGGCATCATTCTGTGGAAGAGGCAGAGGCTCAGGCTCACGTTCACAGTTCTCTTTGCCTCTGCCGCTCTGTTTTATCATCTGCTCCCCCCAGCAGTAACAGACAATTCTGCTGCACGTTCTACATCAGGTGTGGCTGCACTTCAAAGTTTTAAGCATAAAACCAAGCATGGAAAGAATTCAGTAAGCAGTGCTTGCACAAGCACAGATCTCACAATGGGCCCCAGTGCTGGCTGCTACAGTGTGGGCTCTTGAGGAAGGGTGCTGACAGCTGCTAAGCGAGGGAACGCCAACACACAAGTCTGGACAGTTCCTTGCCAAATCATGGCATACAGTATGTGGAGCTTGCCATAAAACACCAGTGCTATATCTGCAGAAGCTGACGCACAGACAGCAAATACAAGCACTCAGATAAGAGACAAGGGTGAGGTACTGATACGTAAGAGGTAAGAGGCAAAATTCTCGTATCCTGGATTCAAAAAGCAAATTTGTACAGGTGCAGTTAAAGATTCATTAAGGAGTGTGTGCCAAAATGAGGGCATCCAACATCTGGTGCAATTGTGGCTTCTAGCAAATTGAATCTTTGAAAAGAAAATATTTATTTTCCTTCATGTAAGGCAACATGCCAGAGAGAGGTGCAACCAAGCATTTATTGACTTCAAAAGCTATTTGTTTGCAGGAGCAACCCAAACCATTTTCTTTTCACCACTACAGAGACATCTCTCACAGAGGCTGTGTGTCAAGAGTGACCATTCAAATCCGCACAAATTATTTGCTGAAGTCATTTGTGCAACGATTGCGAAAATGACAACTAGAAGCTCATGGAAAGGGCACTTTGCTTAAAAGGCAGCAGCAAAGCTACAACCTCCGAGTGGCTGCAATACGTGCTGGAACAACGCTTCATTTAGAAAAAAAAAAAGTTACCCATAACGGACACAGCAACTGAAAGATTCAGACTGCGTTCCGGCTAGCCTCTTACAATCTGACAGCTCCAAACTGTTACCCTCAGCGTGTGTGACGAGGTCACGAACAGACGACTTGGAGCGAACTGAACGAGTCTGACCGAGGTGCCACGAGCAGGCTTCAGGGACCCCCCTGCTTACCGAGCCACAGCAGGACGGAGGACACCTCCCCGTGGGCCGCATGCTCTGGTTTGGACCAGCCTAGTCCCGCTCGGTTCAGCCGGGAGTGGATGTATTCCCTGCAGAGCGCCTTGGCCTGGGAGACCAGCTCCTTGTCCGTGGGGGAGCGGTCAAACACCTCCATTACTTCAGCAGCAAACACCGAAGACCTGCGCAGCACCTCCATCCCCTCCAGAGACCCAGCAACACCACCCAGGGCTGTTCTCCAGGAGCCACTTCAGAGTTCCCCCGTCACTTCAGAGTTAAGAGTTCTCCGTAAAGCTGTTTCTCTTTTTTCTTTTCCTTGAGGAATCCTCTGATCCGAGGAGGGTGTCTTACTCAAAACGGGGAGATTCCTCTGCTGAAAGTGGAGGAGGGAAAAAAAAGAAGAAATGCCCAAGTTCACACACCCACTTCACAGAGAGTGCCATAAGCACTTTGGCTTTTGTAGTAATTAGCAGTTCTAGAATAAATGTCCTGAATACAGTTTTCCCTGATAACCTCAGAAATTATTCAACGAAACTGTTTTTGTTGTTACAGGTTCAGCATTCACTTAACAAGTAATCTGCAAATGAGATTTTGGGACCACTAATTTGCTTTATATTAAAATGTACCACTTCTTGACTTAATTAAAAAGCGATTAGATACCATAACATGAAGACACGGATACAAAATATACATCTCACCACACATTTCTTCAGTAAATCATAAGAAAGATGTGGTTTTCGTTTGCCTTCTCAAACATTGGTCAGGTTGTGGTGTTGGAAAACTAACACATTCTGTCAGAATGCCAATTGCATTGCTTACAGCTGTTGTCCCACTTTTAAAAGTGGTACTGTGTATATATCGTGTGATAAAAAAAACAGTAACATTAATTATACGTGCTGCTGGTGGTGAGAACAGTTTATGCTGTGATGAATATGATTATTATTACTACTACTCGCGATAGACCGTTTATATATTCCTATAATAATCGTGTGAAATACTGCTCCCTTTATCTTTCGAACATGGATTATATAATTCAGGTTTAGAAACCTTTAACAAAAAATGCTCTACTCCTTGCACATACCTACAAACCTCATTCAAACACTTCTCCGGTGGCGTGTTTGCAAGGTGTATAGGTGAAAGGGGACATGATCTAGACGTGTCAAGACCAAAATGTTACAGAGCAAAATCTGTTTTTATTGAGTTACTATTGGGCTGGTGGATAAGTTCTTTCACGAGTAAACACCGAAGTAGCTACAGAAAAAACACACTCAAATACATAATCCTGAACCACAAAGGCCCGTGACCCAATTAACAAAAAACGATTCTATATTGGCGATTGAACTGTTTCTGCCAATATAACAAATTGCCAGTCTTTCGCACGAATTACCTGAATTCACGTTGCGCGAAGTTTCTACTCAAAGGCACTTACCTTTCTTTGAAATACTCCTGCAGGCTCCAGCTGTGAGGTTCGCTCTAGAAAACTCCAAACAGTATCAACTGATGCTGAATGCGATTCCCCCTTTTTCGTTTTGTACGATCCCCCTTCTTAAGATAAAGCACAAATCACTGCGCAACAGCTGAATAAAGAGAAAGGCAAAAGCTAAAATGCAAACTCCCCGTCATATACAGTACATTTAGAAACCCATTCTATTCGATTAGATTGGCTTTAGTCATTGCTGTCATGAACGTCATTAATCTACTTCATAACGTGATCCCGGGGTTTAATTCTTCATCCTCTTCAGCCGCTGGTCTGCAAACGCGCAGATTCTGAGCTCGTTCGCTCCCCTTTCAGTCCCCGTAGAGCTGTTGTATTTTTCGCTGGTACTTGTTAGCAAGCTGAATCAGGTTGTCAGCTCTGAACTTTCTTTCTGCAGCAACTTTCAAACTGAAGTTTCCTTCTAAGGAAAATCATTCAGTTTGGCTTCGGAGGCGGAGTGAAATGAAACAACAGAGGTTTTACAGCTCCGCCCCCATCTCATAATTGCTATTGAAGAAGTACTTCGCTCTAAAGTATTATTACTGGCAGAAATGTGCACTTATGTTAAACTAGCAAATTGACTTCAAAATAGATACATTGTATGTGGAAATGTTTATAAAAGGGCGGGGTTGGTGAGACTTTGGAAGTCGAGGTAAAGATAACGTTTCCAGATACAGAAAGCACTTATGAGGGCCTTTTTAACCGTTCAATAGTACCTGTTTCAGTGTATTTTTTCTTTTAACAGTGCTGCTCATATTTGTCTTGGTACTGTACCTATACGAGCTTCTGCCCTCGAGTCACCATTTTACTCATCTAAATTTTGCCAGTTACCTTGATAACATTACCAGTCCGGATTTGAAGAACCGTAAACGTCACCTTGGATCAAATTCACCTTTGGCTGAATCAAAATACTCCCTTTTGCTATCTCCTTGGATTCAAAGTTCCTACACTACTGACATGTTCCCAGAAAAAGTCCAATATATATGATCCAAGTAGCACATATCCAACTGTTGTAGGAAATTCTTCATTAGAGCAGAACAGATTTAGTTTTATTGAGTCCCAAAACAGTACAGCAATGCGTGCTGGATCTGCCCCACAGAGCAGACAGATTTAAAGGGTTTCCTAGCTCTTATAAACAGTATGTACAGGCTCAAAAAGAAGTTTCTTTCACACTTTGAATGTTTGTCCTGTTTTATGCTGTTTGTGAGTGTTTGTCCTGTCCTTCCATATGTGACAAACGTTGGTTCCTCATTTTGTGTGCTAGTGATGTCATTAGATGTGATTATCCCTGTTCTTAAAACTTGAAGAAGAAAATTAGTTGCTACGGTTGTTAAACCAAGTCACAATTATTCTGTCTTACTATAGCTTATGGCAAAGACTAAGTTAATGGGTCCCAGCAATTGGTCTAACACCTTCCAAAAAGTCATTCAGTAGTAATTTTGGAGTGCTGAATATGTGCAATGTATACAGTATATATAGTATGTCAAACAACATAAAGTCAGACTTTTTCTCAACCTCCATTGTGACCATCACAGTCTGTGTTCATTCATGATCACTAGAGACTGTCCTCCATTGAAAGCATCAGCATTCTGATCCCTGTGCCCAGCCTGGTCCTGCTTTCACCCGAACAAGAGATGTTCTTGGTCAGGATGAAATATTTGCTGCAGCCGACTTGAATCCCTTGCCAACAGCAAAGGTCGATGCTTTGACCCCCTAGCCACAACGCCAGGCCTCCATGATGCATATTTCCCTTCACACCACTTTGACATTTGAAGTAGATGTTCGACAAGGAAGCAAAAAAAAAAAACACGTAACTTAAAACTCAGAAGAAAATAATCCTTAATGCGATAAGGTTTCAAAACAGTGAAGTTTGTTCTTACAGGAAAAGTTTTACTATTGACCCTTTAAGAATGTTTAGTGAGAAACCACAAATGCTTCAGAGAAGGGAAACACAGCTGTGGTCAGAGATCTATCTGCCTGTCTTGCAGTCATAATGGAAACTACCCTTTTCTCAAGATGGCTTTGGATAAGGCAAGTGTTTTCTTTGCTGCTACAGCGAAGAAACTGCCGTATACTTCCCCTTTGTAGAAATACTCTGTAATACTCCTGACAGAATACTGTTAACACTGATGGCCTTGCTAGTGAAGCAGTAGGTTTCAACACGCAAAAAAGTTTCTAAGATTTTGTTGTAATGGAGTTTACCTCATGACAACACTGATTACCATCACATTTACTGGTGCATAATGAGAACAAAACAGACCAAGGTTTATATCAATATATCCTACATAATTTGATGTTATTTACATTTAAAATATGGAGCACATTGATTTGCTAAAATGTTAGGCACTCACTGTTCTATATTTTAGTTGTTAAAATACCAAAAATGCCTTCAATACAAATTTACATTAACAGCCATTCAAAAAAACAACAACACATTACTGTGAACAATACCGAATGGTCCTGACTGAAGGTGGCCTATACTGTATGTGAAAGGAGCTCCCTGTGAATGAGGTATTCTACTTCAACAATCGGCAAATTAATCCTGAGAAACCAGGAAACCAGATCTTTGAGGGACTGGCCACAAAAGATCAGCACACCTCCCAGAACTGTCACATCCATCTGATCCATTTGAATTATTCTTTTCAGATTGCAGTGGCTGCTGCACCACAGTCCTGGATGAAAAAACACTCAACTGATTGTAGCTCACCTCCTGCACAAAGGCGACCTGCATGCTCAGGAGCAACTTCTTGACAGATCATGACTAAATTGCTGATTTCTGTGGGCAAGAAAACATCTGAGGCTGCAACAGAAAATGCTGGAGTGAAGCATTTTGCCATTGACAGATATGGTAGAAAACTACATATGAACATAAGATGTGTTACAGATAGGAGGGTGGAACTATATGTGTGGAGATATTGCGACGAGCGTTACACTGTTCAAACCAACCAGTGGTGCAGTGGGAGTGAGATCACGTGACACCTAACCTTTGGTGTAGATCGAGGGGGAACTGATACAGTGATACAAACAGAACAGCCAACGTTTTTCCACCCCTACAAGTCCATCTAGAGGTGTCACCTGAAAGACAGTGGAAGACTACACAGTGCTAGGATTGTAATGGAATGACTTCATGAAAGCAATGATGAGCAACGAAAAGGTCCGATTGTGTCCAGCGCTATGTTCTCATCACCAGTGAGAGTAATATGCCTATATTACCAACCAGCTGCAGCTGTTGGAACCCCTGTAGCAACAGTCTACCCAGAGACAAGTCAGGTCTATGGCTCGGCACTGTCAGAACTGGATAAATGCTCAGGGAGGTCACATTAAATAATGATGTTATATTTTACATTTACTGTAATTTTAAAATAATTCATCAGATCTATTGTACAATAATTCTTTTGTGAATCAGTATGATCCCAGCATAAGGGATTCAGAAAATAAAATAGTTTGGAAGACAACTTTAAGCATTCAGTGTTTATTTTCATCAGTTCTGAATTCCCCTTTACTACAAGGTTTAGTCCTTTCTTTCTGACTGGCGGATGTTGTCTGATGTAATTGTGGAACTTCTTTTATTCTTTTTAAAATGCGGTGTCCCTTTGAAAACCTTCTCAAAAGACGATTGTCAGAATTTACACGAGGAGAGTAAGCCAGTCTTGCTCAAAACTGAGGGGGAAAACAAATTACTACACTTCCCATTGAGAAAAGAAGTAGAAATAGGGATGTTCTGTGTACGAACGTAACATTAGTCAGAGGGAATTCTCTTCAAAGTGACAGAAAGAAAAAAAGTATACAAGACTTGAGTATGGTGCATGTTTATTATCATGTTTTAAAATTAGAAAAAAAACAAATAAACAGATTTATAAAACAGAACAGAATACTTTAGGTCAAGGGAGATAAAGTTATACATTATAATTAAACCAAAAAGATGCTTTGTACACATATTTTGTGTGGTTGTCTTTGGCCTTGATTTCCAAAATGTCCTAGGCATGATTGATCAAATAGTTAATGTACTGTACCTTACCTATGGAGTTCCATATGCAAATGGACAATCTAGCTGAAAAAAAAGCAGGTTGCATCTAAGGACGATGAGTTGGACTCTAATGCACAGTAAAAATTCACAAGATGTAGGCTACTTGCATAATAAAGTTCTTTCAGTGATTTCTCTTGATGTAATTGGGTGCAGTGGGACCTTAACTGTCATGCTGATGTAGCTAATTACGCATCAAAAGAAAAGTGAATATGGCTGCTTTGAAAATCCTCTAAATCAGTGAGCCAGAAGAGCCACAGCTTGAGCACAGTGGCCACACATCAGCTTGAAGTGACATAAATTGTTCTGATGCTGTTCACTGTGTGAATCTGTTTGTCAGTTATTGAAGGAATTACCATCTTATCAGCTCAGCTAGCATGTTAAATCATTCATCTTAGATTTCTGTTGCATCTCCCATAGAGAGCACAATATATTGAGACAGCTTGTGCAGGCCAAACAAACATCATTTTAACACTACTTGTCAACAGAGATATGATAAGAATTCCCTGATGGCCTGAATAAATCTGCATTTTTGAAAATTGGTGTAATATATTGTAACGTCCACTGTGAAGGATTTCTAGATAGTACCTAATAGGTAGTATTGCATTTTGTTATATAGAGGTCATAATATGAATGCTACTGAATATTCTGTTTTAGCAAGAGCTTTTATCTTACATTTTTTATATATAAGACTTTATTTATAACCCTAATATTTACAAACTTCCAGTAAATTTAATCTCTGCTCTGTCTGTTACTTCTGATTCCTTTTTAAATTTTCCAAGTACTGAAAACAAATTAGAATTCTTTTAGCCTACTGTTTGTGTCCCATGTTGAATCCTGGTGCTTTATAAAATGCCTTTATCTACAAAAGTATGTTTTCATTCTCACCATGAAATAACAATTCAATAGCTCCAAATTGCTTATGTAATTGGCAGATAACTTGCATACAATTATTTGTGACAATAATACAGTACGTCACAGAATGGCTGCACTGAAAAATACCATCTCATGAAGACAACATCACACTGTTCCTCTGCATTTCTGTGACACAGGAAAATGGTGACTTTCAGAATATAACTTGAAACCTCAAAGTCATCTAAAGCGCACACAGCACACAATTACTATCGCCACAACCGTAGTGTGCTACTTCTGCTACTTGTATGTGTTGCTAAAAACAGCACTTAGAGCCTCTTGTCTTGTGACACATAGTGCGCTATCTTTACAGAACAAGAGTGTTCTCAGACGCTCCTTCTATAATGAAAAATACCATATGTAAACCTATCATGAGCAGACTTTCAGAGTGTCCTTATCATGGGGCCTTAAAAATATGACCAACACATGGAATCCTTCACTTTCACAGGAAACCCCCTGACATAAACCAGATATTGGGATGACACTCCCAAAGCCGTTTGCTGTCAAATTTGTTTTTACAGCACTGGAAGTAGAGGTTCAGAATTGCTCTTTGCAAAATAGCATGCATAAGAACATAAGTAGGTTTGCAAACAACAGGAGGCCATTCTG